CGTACGAAGAAGAAGAAAGGAAAGGAAAGAAGAGTAAGAAATTTGAGTTGGAAGAGAGAGCGGATCACGACTGAGGAACGAGCACCAACTAATGCGACGGCACTGATACTTATACCGTACGGAAAGTCGTTTTCACTTAACTTACTACGAGTTTGCTAGCAAACGTACGTCACAGCTAGGTAACAACATAACTATTCAAACTACGAGCAAACACGCGGACCGCCAAGCAGCCGCATACGGTATAGAGGGGGGGTATTGTAATGGGCTGCGCCCGTGGAGTGAAAGCACGTGATTGTATCACGTGCCTACATCACGTGCCTATATCACACCGCTTAGTTAGAACTTACTCGTACGAAGAGTAGAGAAGCAAGGTATAAAGAGAGAGGTGTCGTACGACAGCTTAACTCTTCTTATCTTTCTTCTTCTGTACTATAGGTTAATGCAAACTCGTTCGAAGGCCTCTTCGCCCATAACACTAAGTAATTCGCATAAATTTAGATTATAATCGAAGCTTATAAGAGAATCCTTCGTCCAATTACTAATTACTATATAAGAAGACTTTTTAAAGCTTATTAAAGAAGCTAAGAAGATACTATATAAGAATGTACTTATAAAGGCCCGCTTACAAGAGCTTAAAGAGTAATTAGTAGAGATAATAAAGCACTAAGGGCGTAAAAGAAAGTGGATTTAAATAGATAGAATACAAGACTTTAATATAGGAGTATCGTAGGTAGCTAAAAGTACTTCTACTAGTCGTACGATATTAAAGAAGGCGCATAGTGGGGGTAGTTAAGAAAAGGCTCTACTAAGTTAACGGTAGGCTGGTAAACGGGTCTCCACTTCAGGATCTTTAAAACGTAAATATCTTAACTAGTTTATATTATATTAGAGAGTTAGGTAGTTTATTTTATAGCTCTTAAGTAGAGCTATATTTTCGCCTAATATACTAATAACCTAACTATAATAGATAGAGAGTTATTAGTGATTAGGGTGAAATAAGGAGACCCGACTCTTAGCACGACGGGTTACTAAATAACCTTTTACCTATTAGAGTTAGCCTATTACTATATTAAATCAAGATATAGCTCTACTTAAGAGCTATAAAATAAACTACTAAAAGTTTTAATTAGATAGGTTTTGTAAGAGTTATTAAGAAAAAACAATCCTAATATAGAGACCCGACCCGCTACACTACTATTTACTAGTCTATATAGTATCTTATATATAATAATCTAGTAGTAACGCGATAGAAAGTACTATTAACGCGACTATAAGGCGAATTATAATAGCCTAATAAAATAAAAACAGTAAACTATTACTAAGCGTATAATAGTTAAGTCTAAGTAAGAACTACTCTATAAGAGAGACGACGTATAAGATATAGCTAATGAACTACTCTAAGAGCGCAGTAAAGAGAGAATATTACGATCAGCCTTAGAATATAGAGAACATTTCGCTATTATATTTATTTAACGAGTAATTTATAAGACGGCGAATCCGTAGTAGAAAATAAAGACACTTATTTAGAACTAGCGCATCACGTGATCTATACGATGCTTAGTAATTAGTATATCTTAGCACTACTAAGCAATTAAGCACTCTGCATATCAGTCTACAAGATACTTAGTAATTAGTATATCTTAGCACTACTAAGTAACTATATAATAGGCTAAACGCCCTTCGCCTCTCATACTCGTCTACGACCTCGTTTACTCTATCTACCCAGCCCGATTATTACCTTAGCAACTAGCATATATATATAAGCTATATAGCCGAGAGCTTAGCTCTCTATTAAATATAATCTTATTACCTTAGTCTGTTCAACTATACTCTAGAGCTTAAGACTACTCTACGGGGTTACGCCTCTTACAAACTAAGTATATTATAGTACTAAGTTAAAAGTTTCGCTCGCTAACCGAAAACACCTCATTACTACAATTGAATAACTATAATAAAACAGCTAATATCTCTACTAAAATAACATAAATTTTAAATTTAAAAAATAAAATTTATTCCTAAGTACTAGAACTTATTTACTAGCCCCGCGCAGCTCTGTAAGCTATAAGGCGGCAGGGCATTAAGTAGATTACTACTTTAATATACTTATATAGAATTCTCCGCTAATAGTCTTTTAGAGTATAGTAAAAGCTATTCTACTATTCTTTAGCGTAGCTATAATTATTATATTATAGATAGAATTTATTTATACGTCGTTTTAGCACCTACTAGAAGTACTTAATAGAGTTAAGATCTAGTAAGTACGCTAGCTAGTTAAGTGTTATAATATAGTTCTCCGCAAAAAACGTCTAGATAACTCTAGAGGTATATATATACGCGTTATTCTATATAAAAATCTAAGAAGACCTATATAAAGAGAGAAGACCTCTATAGAGTGCCTATATATAGAATTAGCTAAAGTATCTACCGCAGGGAGTATTCTAATCTGTTTCTATTATTACTAGTGGACTCCGCTAACTATACTTACGTTCGTCTATCTATATAGCTCTCTATACTATCTAGCTTCTTACTATACCCGTAGATAGTTCCGTAAGTATTCTAGCCTTCTATTTTTCTACTAGATAGTAAAAATACTACTTTTATTCTACGCAAGAGATCTTCTAAATAGAGCACTTATTAGAGAACTTAACTATACGCTAATACTAAGGAAAATATTAGTAATAATACGCGAACTATAACTGCTTATAGGTAAGTATTAGACTAAGTTTTAGACGTTTCTTATATTAATATTTAACTATATTGCGACGCTTAAGTATACGATATAGTATAGACTTACTAGGTAGGCGTAAAGTAGTGCTGTTAGATAGTATTATAGTCGCAGCTTTAATAAGGTCGTTATACTTAATTTTAGGCGATTTACGTATATGTATCTAAATTATCTTCTATTAATAGTCTAAAAGTATCTTAGAACGGCCGCTATAAGGTCTATTATTTGTCGTTGCTATAGTGTTGTACTTTTAGTAGAGGCGGCGGATGGTAGAGTAGGCTTAGTAAAAGGCTGTAGCAACTTTAGCTACTTTATACCTACTTATTAATATCTTAATCGCGATATTTCTCTCCGCGATCGTTATTTTTAGCATCTAGCGAACATTTTATAATATTTTCTAGCCGAATTGGTGCGGTGCAGCGTTGGGTGCAGGTATTTAAAATTGAGATAGTTGGTGGTGGAGTTGTGGTGGGGTAGCTACGCGAGCGAAACTTTTAACGCGTGGCTGTATATAAAGCTCTAGTATATAGTATTAAGTATTAAGTCTCTATAGCTTAATAGGTACACAAACAGAGTAGTTAGTAACTTTTAATGCTAAACTATTTTTAATAAAGATTCTAGTAGATCCGTTACCTTGTACTAGGCCTTCTAACCTAACCTAACCTTAATTAACTACTAGGCATTCTAAATTCATTTACTAGCCTAGGGTGTAGGGTATAAGCAATCTAAGAGATTCTAATAGTGTCGTTATCTCCAACTCCTAATTAGTCTGACCGGTAGGACTAGCTCCTCCAATTATATATCACCACGTTGATAGAACGCACGTGTAAATCTCGTGCATGAGGTGTAACTTAAACTAACGTGAACCTCCCATCCTAAACTACATGAAATGCTGAAACATAGGTTCTTGTAGCCATTCCGCACCACGATTTACATTACCTGCTGTTGCCACCTTAGGTCGCATCAAAACTCTTGCAATCTCTTTTCTCCGAAGCAATGGCAGATCCCCTTTCCATAATCGCTAGCGTTCTTGCCATTATCGCAACCGCAGTTAAGGTAGCCACAACAGTTTACAGCATCGCTGATAAAATGATTGCCGCGCCCCGCGAACTACGTGAAGTAGGAGCTAACATGAATATATTAGCCACGATCCTTGAGAGTCTAGCTGAGGTTCTAGACAAGGGGAAAGGCTTGTATAAGGAAGCTTTGATTAACACGATCCAGTCGATTTTGAAACGATTTGAAGCCGTCCAAAAGGACGTAATGGAGATTTTGGGGAAGAAGCAACAAGGGGTTCGAAGACGAGTAGCGTGGTACTTAAAGGCCCCAAAATTGGCGGATTCATTGATCCGAATTGAGGGCTTGAAAAGTGCGACACAACTTGTGCTTTCGATGATGAACCTAGCGATAGTGCAAACAGATAAAGATAAGTGAGTTTAGAGCAGTCTCTTTAGTTTACGATGCTAATTTAATGTAGAGGAAAGCGTTTTCGTGTGCTCGTAGAGTCAGTCATCCGGGAGAACCGCCAAACAGTCATTAATGCGCAAGAACATCAATCCAGAAATTTACCTCATGAATCGATTGATCGACCTCGTGGTTCTTCTTTTCATTCCTACACTGGAAGACCATCTGCTCCACACGTACCCAACACTCCAACTCAGAGAAAAGACAGCGAGGTTGAAGTTGAGCGAACTATATCAGATCTTGGCTCCCACACACCGGCCCACGACGCCGTGGCGCTCAATGTCACGGACGGTCGCTCGGATCGTAGACCATCTTGGAAGTTCAACTCCCCGGTACATTCGGCATATCCCGAGCTGCAAATCCATAATTCTGAGCATTCCTCTGGTGAGATACACGGCAAACACCAGATTAGGAGTAGAAGTTTGCCTCGAGATTCTCATGATGATAGTATGGCTTTATTGGCAAAGAAACCTCAGGATGACACTGCTACATGGCTCTACCAGCTTGTCTTTGACCCAGAAATACAGGTAGAGAGTGCTCTGCAGAGCAATGGAGAAGTCGGCCTTAACGCCTCAAAAAATGATCTGGTTGACTCCCCTGCATCAATACACAAGCTGGGTTACAAAAATAACTCGAGCGAAAACTCTCCCCTACATGCACCTTTCAAGCAGCTACAGTATCCTATTCGTAAATTTCTACCACCACCAGTAGTCTTGGTGGAGAGAATGCAGGAGATTGAGATATCCACAGTAATCTTCAGGCTCTTGAAGCAATGGACAGTTCTCGGCCCTGAAGAGATCGATCTGATCGCCTCTGAGAATCGACACTACATGGACCAGAAGCCTGAGTCAGCCTCCTCTGATGCATCTGAGGCTGAGTCAGGCTGCCCTGGTGACGAACCCGATTCCTACGAAAACAAACCATCTCCTCCTCCTAATACTAGCAGAGAGGACATCTTGCTACAGAAGCTCGAGAAGCTTCTGCTAGACAGGACTGAGGAAGATAAAAAGAAAACAGAATTGAGATTCTCTCAACTGGAGTCGCTCCTCATTGATGAACGAAATTCTCGCATTGAGAAGAATATAGCGAAGAAGAAGGCCGCACAAGAGGCTGCAGAAGCTGCAGCAAACTGCGCCGCTGAAGCAAAAAAGAAGAGAGATGAAGATAAGTTAGCGGAGATCGTTAATCTCATTCTGGCTCAGAAGGATGAGCAATTGAAGCGAGAAGCAGCATTGGAGGCTATGCTGGCGGCCGAGAGAGCTGAGGCAAAGTCCAGAGCTACGAAAGAAGAAGCAGAGAAGCAAGCCGCCATCGATGCTGCTACGACGTTGGTCCAAGCAGCCAAGAATGCCAGAGAAGAAGCTGAAACTATAGCCGCCAAGGAAGCCGAAAAGATGAAGGTCGCTCACGAGAACACGCTCGCTGAAGCCAAGGCATCTTTTGAAAAGCTGGACAGGGCGAAGAAGGCAGCGGAGGAAGAGACAATAAAGATGAAGGCTGAGGAAAACGATAAAAAGCCTGCGGTTCAATTCAAAGACGTCATGGGCCGTAAGTACAGTCTTCCGTGGCACTTGTGTAAGACGTGGAAGGTATGTATCCAGCTTGTGAACGATGACTATAAGTTGATACCAGCTGGTCCAATAGGTAATGGAGGATCTCATCAAGCAAGTCTTTCTTAATGTGGATATCGTTGGTCGGGATGTGCACGATGGCCACTACGACCTTATTGGCCCTGACGAGGGGATTATCCTACCACAGTTCTGGGAGAGCGTAGTCCAGCCGGGTTGTACCGTCACAATGCGAATCTCGACGCCACCTCCCGGTTCGAATTCTATACCTAACGAGTCAATTAGAAGTAGCGGCGGCGAGTATGACACGGCAAAGTATGAGATCTGCTTCGCAACTAAGTATAAGAACTTCGACACACAAATAGGAGAAATTGTCGCTTCCTTGGTTGATAATGGTTTCAACCCAACATTTGGGATGAAACCTAGCAACAGGTCACCTCCCAAATTATCAGGTGCACTGCTTTGGGAGCCTTCGGCGATGCGGAATGGAAGTGAACTGCATGAGTCACTATGGCAGAACGGCTGGATGCCCGTATACATGCGTGGATCACGTATGTCAATCACCAGCAGTTATCTAGCATGCAACATTCCAGCTGATGCCAAATTTAAGATACAGGACAAACGTGGTTCCATGGCCCACACCCTATACATACGCGATTCCTGCAACCCAACTACGCCCCACAAATCAACCAGGCTACTGCATCATCCGATTCATTTCTCCTCATAGGACGTGAGTGGGTGGAGGAAGAGGCGCTTCGTCTTGCAGGGATTAAGTACAGAATTGTACCCCCATGCTATTGCGCTATCGATCCTAACAGCACTTATGTATGCGGCCTTCTTTAGCACGTCTCACACACTCTCCTATTGTTCTAGACTCTCCTACTATCACACAAAAGCACAATTATATGCATCCATCTGTTACTATATCCCCTTCAACTAACATGGGTTTAGGATGATATCCTCTTTATTATTTCTACATCCCTTTTACTTCGCGAAGCTGGCTTACGACGCTACGCAAGGAAATTCTTTGTCGAGTCCTTGTCCACTTCAGAGTTACACGGCCTGCCAGAACCAGAGCTCTTCTCACTTCCGTCTATGGAGCTTGTTACTGGTATATTGGAGACACAAGTGCAAGAGAAGGACTAGACAAGAATTCTAGTGCTTATACCACGGTCTAATATATCGTAAGGGAAGGGGAGCAGGTGTCGATTATAAGACCAGCATTTCTAGATTAAGTAGATACACTACGGTACAACTTCGTTATTAAGCATATAAGGTAGTCTAAATTAACACTACAAAAATAGGCAATTTTACTATAGTATACAAGTATCATAGGTTTTTCTAGATTTTCAGCCTGCGAGTAGAAAGCGAATTACTAGAAGTTAAGTACCTAACATACTTCTCCTTATGATGTGGAACTATAGTATATTATAACTTATAAATAAACTTATTATGTTTATATAGAATTATCTATTTTTCTAAAAATTAAATTAACACATAAAGAATACGAACTTCGTTTATTACAGTGGGGTGACAAAAAAAAGAACTTAAAAAAGTTGTGATTTTTAAACATATATTGCTTAATGGGTATTAGCGCTAAACTAATAAAAGATATATCGTTGAATAGAGAATTTCTTGACGTTGAAGATGATGGTCTAGTGAAGCTGTTTAGTAAGCACTAGGAAGGCTATATGTCCTCTTAAACGTAGAGAAAAAAAATCTTCTAACTTTAGCTCCAAATTTCGCGCTGTAAATTTTGACTTTTTTAATACTAGTCTATATGTATTAGTAATATACTTATTAAGTAATTATATAAGCATCTTAGTTATTATAGTTTATACTTTAAATATTTAGAAGTAAATTAAGGTTATTTTTAGGTACTACTTATATAAGCTATATGTTAGTTATGTTATGGGTGGAGAGGCCTAGCGAATGAGTATGCTTCTATCTATCGTACAGAAGCTAAAAGATAAGAAAAAGAGAGAATAACTAGGTATAGGCTTCTCTTATACTTACTCACTTCTAATTACGTATCTGTATAGAAGGTATATCACGTGGTTATTAACTATGTAATCCCTTTGGTAGAGATGATAGGCGCAGCTCTTTATAATACTTCTCTCCTCCACTTATACGGATATATTTGCGTTTATTTATTTCCTTAGAAGCGCGCGGCTGCCTAACTTGCAGTGGAGCGGCGGCGTCTATTTACTTTAGTGAAGGAGGATTTCTATGAGAGCAAACGCTCCCTCCGTACGATATATAGAGCTGCCGTCTCTTTTCTCTAGCTTTTCTTCCTTTATACTAATTTAATTTAACTCTACTACTATATAAGTTTCTTCTCTTCTTCTAGCTATACTTATACGATACCGTCTAAAGCGTAACTACTCTCTTATGGTATCTAGGCTAACGTAAATACTAATAGTTTATAGTTTTATACTAGCGGTAGCCTTAATAACACTATTAATAACGTAGCTAACTAAATCTTTAACGCTGCCTACCGAGCTCTAACTTATACAACGCCTAGTGCTATACTACTAACTTTTAATATACTAGGCGCTGTCAACTTAAACGAGTATTATATCTAGTTTATCTTTAATTAGCGCATCGTAGATAAGCTGCGCTATATTTACGCGGTTACTCCTATACGTAATACTTCTCTAACTCCTTATACGGCTAGTACTAACTTATATAGAAGAATATTCGCTATATATTTAACTACTTCTATTATCCTCGCGGTAATAGTCTGTACGATGCTGTCTTTAGTCTAGGTTCTTACGACTACTTACTTATAATCGCGCGTACGACTATTACTACTTAATAGATTCTTACTAGCTGTCTATCCTATCTTAAGGCCTTTATTATATATAGCCGCGGCGCTTTTAATGTAACTTTTTATATAAATAATTACGCTGCTGTCTTATAAGATAAGAAGGAGTTTACCGTATTTACTAGCTACGTATCTATCACTAGTAAGTAGGGCGGGGCCTACTCTAACTGCGTCTAGTAAGATTATAGAGCTCGTTATAGTGTTATTTAATAGATAGTCTCTCGTATAGGAGGTGGGCATAAGAGACTCTCTAGTAGTTCTAGTAGTAGTAGCTAGCGTAGTCGTCCAGCTATAGGTAGTACTAAGAACCCCTTACTTATAGAGTAGGTGGGCTTACCTCTACTAGTTTCTTCTAAGTCGTCTATTAGATTATTATCTAGGTTAGGTATGGGACAACTATAACTATAGAATAGTAGTGTTAGCAAGGTGGGCGGCAGGCTTTTATATGGGCTCGTTATAGCCCGGCTAATAGATAAGATATTCTATTTACTTATACCTTATTCTCTTATCTATAATGTCTTATACTATCTACTCTAAGTGTTCTTTATTATTCTTATTATCTCGTACGACTATAGCTGCTAGGCTAGTATCGTCTATCTGCTATGATAGAAATAAATTGTTAGCTACTAGACGGAGCTTATCTATATAGTAAGTTTTCGTTTTCTATAGTATAGCTAACTCTACCTAGTAGAGATCTTATATATAAGCGATCTAGAACTTAGCGCTTTTCTAATTAAGTTTCTTACTACTTCTAGTTGTACGTACGTCGCGTAAGTCTAGCTATACCTAGTCTCTTACGTAATAGGTAGGCGCTAGTCTGCGGGACTTATTAGCTTATCGTTCTTACTCTTATTAGGCGTATATTATAGTAGATATAGCCTAGTTAGTAGTATTACTAATTATTTAGATAATATTCTTTATAGCTTCTTCTACTTCGTTAGCTTATATAACTATTTAGGGCTAGGGAAAAGGAGTATTATAGTAACTATAGTAAAGGAAAAAAGGTAAAACTTCTATTATTATATTTATATAGGAGTTAAGTATAAGTTCTAGAAGAGAGTAGAGTTATAACTAGTTATCTTAATTATAGTTATAGAAGATCTATATAACTACTTCTATATCGCTATTAGTACGCTCTATTATTCTATCCGTTTATAGGTAGTAGGCTAATAAGAGATTTCTTTAGATACTAAGTAACTAGTAGACTTACTTCTAAAGAGAGCTAATAAATTAAGGTCTACAGTTAGACGTGATAGATTATAGAAGGCTATAGTACTAGTAAACTTCTCGTATAAAGGCCTAGGCAACGTCTATTATTTTAATCTTATCTATAGAGATTAGTATAACGCTATTACCTAGTCTATTCTTTACTACTATAAAGTTAGTTTTTCTTTAAGAGCTAGGTAAACCTATAATAAAGTTAACTATTAGATATTACTACGTACGGCTAGATATAGGTAATAGTTTTAGGTACTTATATTTCTTATCTCTTTAGAGAGTGCTTTTTCTATATAGCTTATAGTTCTATATATAACATCGTATATTAGTACTTATATTAAGCTAATACTATTCTCTTATAATAATTCTGTATATTTTCTCTTATCTAGAGTGTTTTATTAGTAGAGATAGATACGCCGTTTAGATAACTTCTATTTAGAGTAGTTTATATTTAGGTACCTATACTCTATTACGCTAGTATAGCTTATCTTTAGCGTTAGTTATATAGTCGCCTAAGGAGATAGTAATCTTATAGGAGCTTAGAAGAGATCGTTTTCCTTCTTATATAGCTTCTCTTACTTCTTAGTATAGAGAATCTACTTATACGGCATTATTCTAATAGTCTTATATAAGCGTAGGAAAGTGTAGTAGTTAAGACAGCGTAGTAGACACTAGGGGCGAGGTATTTCTCTAAGTAGTGGTAGTATCTCGTATAGGTATAATTATAATATTCTTCTAGGCTTAGGCTAGTACTAGTATAGTAAATTCCCTTAATGCTAAATACTTATCTAGATCGTTCTTCTGCATATCTTAGTCTTATCTAGATAAGGCGTCCGCCTATATATTTTCCTTACTAAGGCGATAGCGGAGTTTTATATTTAGAAAGTAGGCTAGTTCTAAGTTCTATCGTACGTATTATTTAGAGAGCTTTTACTTATAGGTAAAGTATTTAAGATTCTTATAGTCTATTACTACCTTAAACACTTTTACGCCTCGTAATTTAGTATTCTACTCTTTTAAGTAGTAGATTACTACTAGTAGCTCTTTATCGTAAATTAGGTAGTTTACTTTATATACTAGTAGC